AGACGGCGGTTCCGTGGGTCATTGAGATTCCACCTCTTCCATCGTGTTTCTCCCTCTTTTCTCACGTTATCCTGCTGTTGATAACGACACTCAGATACGACGTGTGCATAGTTTTCCGCTGTTCTTTTTTTTTCCTACAGTAGGATAATTTTACCGCCCTTCCTTCACTTTATCCCTTTTCTCTCTGTCTTCGTTCTTCGACGTTGCACACGTTGGACAAAGTCGAGAAATCCCTACAATTTTGAATTATCATCGACAACCTTTCCACAAGGTTATCGAGTGGTGAAAGAAGAAGTTGGAAAGACATTTTAATAATTGAAAAGATAGGAAGGTATCGGTTTTTTTTTTACTGAGACATCCTGATTGTTACCGTACGTTGCGAATCATTCGATCTATTCTTTTCCCAGCAGTTTCTGTCCTTTCTGAATAATTTTTTTTTTGGTGAACGATATATCGTTATCGCGTGGTCTTCACAAGAAACATTGGCAATTATATTTTCATTTATGATTTCGACGAAGAGAGAACAAGGAGATCTGGAGTTTGTGATCGATAGTTTTGTTTCAACGTTTGATCGTGCTTGAAGACATAAATTTTCGTCCACCGAAATCTAATGAGGACGCACGTAGGAAGCAAATAGTGCAACTAAAAATTTCTCCGAAGAGCGTGCAACTTTGTCGATAAGTGCATCGGATGGGCATAGCGTGAGAGAATCCGGGCATGTTACACGAGAATTCACGGTCACATAGTTTCACAAAGGGACGTGTCTATGTTCGTCCTTGACCATGCGAAAATTAACTCCGATCACATACTTCGAATACCAGATCGATTCATAGTTCATCGAATCGTAGTCCAATGTTGTTGAAGCTACGCGGGATCAGACGAGGAGATAAAAATGATTTTTTTCCTTTTTTCTTGCTCGATTTAATTAGTCAAAGTCAAAACATCGTTGTAATAGCGAATTACGATTTTTATAGATCAACGTCCGGGGTTTAAGTTTAGATGACTCGATAAAAATATTCTGTTTACTACGATACGGTAAAATTGGTTGCTACACTTGGTGTTGAATGCGTCTTCACTTTATCACTAGCGAAAACGCTATACATCGATGTCTTAATTAAGCGATTCGGATGTAGCCATAATATAAACTCGATGGTTGTAAATTATTATATTCGCGCATCTTGCGCGAAGATGATAGTCTAAAAATGAGGCAATTATTATTTAATCGCTGAAGGATCTATAGAGTGGAATTTTACGACGTCGTGCAAAAATGGTTGCGTTACGAACGCAGACACCAGAGATAAACGAATGATCCACGGAATAAAGAAGGGAACAGAAGCGTTTTTGCTAATCTTGGCGACGGTCAATGTACAGTTAGATATTAGATTCGTGTTTGGACTCGATTATCAAAGGCGCCTAAATATCTTCAACGGAAGCATCATTCCAAAGATCGAAGATTGCGCATTTTTTATTGCTCCATTGTAGCTTCGTTACAGATCATTGATGAAACAAGCGTGGTCGTTGTACATATGTATTTATAACACGTCGTCTCATAAAATTAATAGCCGCTATATCGAGAACTCGTTAACTAATAAGGACAGCGAGACGTGACGGAGCGGGTGTCTTACGGAGCCGGGGAAATTACCACGGTCAATGTTCATCGTTCGTCCGGTTCACGTGCTAAGCGATACGACTCACGCAATGTGAAGAAACGATTGCAAGAGTTGAATTGAAAAAAAAGTACAAGCGATTAGTCATATGCAAATTGATTAGATATCTTTTACCGACTTCTGTTTCTTCCTTGGCACTTTTCGTCTCGTATTTCTTTTCTCTTGTTTCCTCTCCTCTTCAGCTGAGATAGAATAAAAGTGACGAAACGCGAAAAAGGATGAAATTATCTATATATTAATTGACGATTTTCTTTCTAAATTAACTTTTATTCGCTTCAGTGTTTCACTTTTAATTTATTTGACTTAAACAATTTGATTTGAATGAAATGCTTGGGTAAAAAAAAAAAAAAAGGTAGAGACAGCATGAAAGAAGCGTGTACAAGCGATTACAATATCGACCAGTTTTAAAGGCGACATATGTACGCGTACAGTTTGATTGCGTGTGGAAAGTATTTCACGCACTATATCCGCGCGATTGAAGAGAAACTCTGGTGCACTGGATTTTCTACAACTTTATACAATTTTTAAATTATTTCTAACAATGTAAAACAACCCATGAAAAATTGGAGGTCACATCGGAAATTTATTTGCGAGGGGGAACGGTGAGTGCGGCTTTAAGAAACGTGCGATAGATCTCGATAAGCCAGTCAGCACGTGGTTGGAACTAGCTTGACTAGGGTTCTGTGACACGTGACAGACCTCTAACCCCCAACCATGACATGTTGCAAAATTACTACATTTGTACTCGTGTCCACCCCTTCGTCAATGCGTCACAACTGTGTGAAACTGACCATTGGTCAACTTACCGTCACCGTCGTTGATTATTATTTGCTTGTACTCGTAACGCAAACCGAAAACAGGATTTTTCACCGGTGAAAATCAATAAGACTTAAGAAGCTCGACAAACGTAGCCATACGTGTGTGCATTCATGTTTTAACGAAAGCCATTCGTCGCAAAAAAAAAAAAAAACTCGCGTCTTCGTGATGAAAGGAACAAGGGAAGAAGATCAACGTATCTGTAAATTTTTTCTGTTAATATTCAAAAGTAGTAATTGCCGCGTGCAGATTAGATTAGTAATGGTAGCTAGTCAATGATAGACGATTACAGGTTCGAGATCATTATCCGCGAAACGATGGAAACCGGTGAGTACCGGTGTCGAGTTCGTTTACTCGATTCTCGGTAGCATTGCCTGGCACATCGGGCTCCAGTTAATGGAAGGAGTCAATCAATCCTAGCCGTTGCGAAACTAGTTAACCAAGTAACGCCAATTATCTCATTTCTCTCTGCGTCGGGTTTATTTCCACCTGGAGATCCCGAACGATCCAAGACTTCGTTGATTAATTGCGTGGCAAACGCCTATCAACTCTACACTCCACAGAATTAATTTCAGTTCGTGCGAGAGAGCACCTTTCGTTTCGCGAAATGATACGAATCCCGGAACATCTGCCTCAATCCATTTCTTAAAGGACAGACAAAGTTTGCCCTTGCATGCACTTTACCAAGGCAATTAAAACCGCAAAGAAAACTAGTCGACCAATTTGAAGGATCAAAAAAGTCGCAAACGATTGTTTCCACTGATTTCTAAAATCAGTTGTAAGTAAATGAATTATCAAGCAAATATCAAAGTTCGATTAATCACATTGGAGAATTGCAGATTATCGCTTGACAAACAGTTGAACTAGTCGGATAATTTGTCGAATAAATCATCGAAATTCGGCGAACAAAACAACGGTGCAAAGATCTGCGTAGAAGATATATACATATGTATATACTATATATATATGTGTGTATATGGACAAATGAAATTACAGTCGCGATCATTTTCCCCGCCGCAACTCACCCGTGACATCTCGAGCAGTTTGTCGTGGCAAAAAGACGGCTGGTGTCAGTGATAACTAGAGTGAGAGTGTGAAGTTCGATGACGGAGGATGGCTGGCGGCGATACGGTTTCTTCAGGGCCTGTTAACGCTCGCTGTGCCTCGATTACGCGTTCGACGCGGGCGAACGGCTGGCCATTACTGACGGCGCGCCCGACGGCGACCTCGACGCTCCGACGTCGGTAACGGCGTCGGCGTCGGCGTCGTGATGCTCCTACCACCCGATCTCGATCGCGTGTTTAACCCTGTCCCACGCGAACTCCCCTGATTCTAGCTCGATTCAACTCTGGAGACCGGGGAGGGTAGTTGCTCGCGTCAAATACCGTTATTCCACCAGCGTCGTAAACTTAGTTTCGCCGATTAACCACGCCAGTTAACGGCTTTCGTGATAACATATTCACCACGTATATCGCGTAATTTACGAGAGTCGAGTTTCCAAGTTGAGGAGAAATCGTGGATTTATCACGGCTGTATTTAAGGCAGTACGAGTCTCTCGTTTACAATTCGGGGATAGCGTTTGAGATGTCTGGAAAAATTGCAAGGCCATTTTGCCCTCGTATATTGTAGTTGGAATTAAATTAGAATTCCTAAATCCATTTAGGTTCGATAAAATTGCACCTGGAGAAGCTTATTGTGTCTCAATTCTCTTTGTAGAGACAAATGTCTTTTCTTGCAATTACTTCCGGTTTGTAGGACTTGTTTCGTGCACGCAGAGAAAAAATATTTCTGACGATTCATTATTCGTCGAACTGTTGTCGTCGGAGGGAATTTGTGGCTGGTACCCTTCGACTAATGGCTTCTCGATCTTCGTATACCTTGGAAAACTTTTATCCGACTCAATCATTCCGGTCACGGCATTTTAAGTTTTACGAACCAAACCGGTGACAAGTCAGAGATTTACGATCAACAGTGCCATCGAACCGGAAGCAATTATTCGAGACAGCGATCGTTCCTTTCGAAACGAATTATCTGTAATTTTACGGCAATAAACTACGCGTGCAAAGATGATTTCAATAAAACAGAATATTATATATGTGGGATGAGCAAATTCTGGGAAAGGGCCCAGAACTTTGCCCAATGCCCAACAATTGCATACCAGATGTCCCAAGTGGTATATATATATATACACCATAAACTGTAGAGAAAATTAGGCCTGGGACTTGGGATCGTTTATGGCGAGTCCTCTAGGCCTAATGTTTAAGACACTAAGGTATGGATTCGTTTGTGTGCATGTGTGTATGCGTGTAGGAATGACGAATTTTGGGTAGATGAGAAGTCGAACAGAGTGAGTGTCGAGAAATCAAAGAAAACAGGGTGAGTGTCGAGACGTCAGAGAGAACAGAGTGAGCGAGCCGTGAAAGAGAGAAAACAGTGAGTTGAGAGCTGCGCGAGAGAGAGAAGAGAGTGAATCGAGAGTTGCGAGTTTAGCAATTAAGAAAATAGTGTAAAACGTCATTTATAATCATCATTAAACAAATTTTCTTTATTTAACCTAAAATAAACAACCATTCTTTTACCAAAATTCCTACAAATTGGGATCTCAAGTCGGGATTCCTACATATATTTGATGAGAAAAATTGTATCAAAATACATTCGTAAATGCCATAAGGAATTCTTGTTCACACAGGATTATAACACGTTAAAGTTTGTTCTGTACGGTTTCCCATAAACGTAGACTCGATAATGAAATCCACGGGAGTATTTCGACCTGAACTTAATCTTAATGAAATTATATCCTATCCCACCAGATGTCACCCACATGGCTCCGTTGTTCTCCTTAGATAGGGAATCTACTCCTATGCAAGTGATCGTCACATTGGCCGGTCCATACTCTGCTTCTACTTCCTGCAGACAAATAAGTCACTATTAAAGCCCTCTTTAAAGCCCGTTTCATATTCTTCTCTTCACACTTTAGTTTCTCCGATGTGCTTTAAGCATTATACTTATCAAGACGAGGATATAGAAATAAAATAATAAAACAACGCGAGAAAGGGGCACGCAAAATCTGACCGGTGATAATCGCGAAATGTAAACTAAAAATAATGTTACTCGATGCGAATTAAAGTGAAGAACGATGCAGTATCTCGAGGTAGTTCCTTTTAATTTGCACTTTGACAAGAGTGTCAATGATACCCGCGTGTCACAGATATCTGGTTATCGACATTACCTTGAATTATATGTGGTACGTACTTGATATGTACCGATTCTGTACGATCTTCTGACGTCGTAGTCCCAGATAAGTTGCTCGTCTGTCCCTCGTTGACACTGCTCGTTTCTGTAGGCGACGGCGACCAGTAGGTTAAACAAGAAAAAGTACACGATAGACTTCATTTTCTCTCGTTGTCGAATTTCAGTCAGTTCTAAGAGACACTGGATGGACTGCTTTTGATTAATACAACGGCAATTAATACGTTGTTGAGATTGCTCGAATTGTACACCAATAACAGATGGAAAACACCGTGTTTATTATTGAACAGACCAATGCTGCGAATAGAACTAACAACCGGACTGTATTAATAGCCGACCATCGATACACCGAAAGTTCCCCCTTCTGCTTACAATGTGTATTTACTCTCATTGCACTCTGCCGGACGCTTCTTCAGCACGGTAGAGATTAGATACAACTCGCGGTATCTTATATCGTGTTCCTCGCTTTTGTTGTTCCGACCGGCTCCATCGGCTGGCTACTACCAGCGCGACTCAATTATAACATAATTATAGTTATATATAATTACAGTAACTTTTCCCTTTGTTTCCCTTCTATTGAAATAATTTAGTAAAAAGATTACTGAGTTTTTTATTAGAAGCATTTACATTGACGCGAAAATTAAAGCAACTACAGCGAGACCGCGCGCTTTAAGTAGTACAACCTTACGATAGTCAGACGTCTCAGCGAATTTCGCGTTGATCTGCCAGAGCAGACAAAACGATTAATTTGTTATTTTACAGCATGAAAAGTTTTGAAACTTTTTCTTTACGTTTCAGTTTCTCTGATGCAAGTTTACTAGGTTTTTTACAAGTTTAGGTTTCGTTTACTAGGCTTTTTTGGACAATTTTTAACGTTCGATCGATGCCAGTACAATTGGACTACTTATTATTATTATTATTATTATTATTAATCAACACCTTTCATTTCATATTAATCAGCTCGTTTGTATAAAATTTAACAAATGCGTGTCGGTAGATATCGCTTGAACAAAGGGTCATAAAAAAATCACGCTGATGCGTTAAATGTTAATTCTCACCACTAGGAAATTGGCGATAAGGCCTAAGTGGTGGCAGTAAAACGGACCATTGGTATGCGAGTCAGGTGAATCTGTTCTCACAGTACCGTGCCTGGAACCACGTGGTACGCGTTACTTAAGAAAATGACTTTCCTTCTTGTTATTCCTAGTCAAATCAAGTGAAGAGTATTCAAGCTTCCTTTTACCACAGCTTCTGTCCATAACGCGACTACAGAGAAACACTTTTTCAGTGTTTGAAGTCTTCTTTCAGAGTAAACATACATCTTTTTATTTTTATCTTACTTAATCGAGAGAGTTTACGTGTACAACGCCAAATATATATATCGGACAATCATAAACAAAAAAAAAAAAAAAAAAATAACCGACGCCGTTAATTCTGAGAAATCAAAATCACATGACGAACTCTCAAGATATTTTATACAGACAACCGTGTATAAAAATTGATAAATCGGCGATTTTACTGTAAAAATAAAAGAGACAGGATTACGATAATCGCGTAAAGTCTGGCCTTGGATAAGGGGAGTTGATAGATAAAATAAAAATAAACTGTTAATCGTATTTCTTTTCGATAGGGCCTCATTGTTTTTTAATATTTGAAAATGATCCTTCATCTCCTGTCTTCGCGAAATTTCGGCTAGGTGTTCACAAGAAGACTGAAAAATTATTAAATTTCTCGCATATGCAAGATAGAATCACAAAATTCACGTTATTTCTGGCAGCTTCCGGATGAAAGATAAGAAGAAAAAAAAGATAATAGAGTCTACGTATTGATTTATTTCACCGGCCGTTGTCAAGGAACTGCATTTCAATATTATCGCATGATAAGATTCCGTTACACATTTAGTTGCTCTATCTTTCGATCTTCACCTTTCATCCCGTTTCAGTTGTGGAAACAACTCCTATCACCCCGTACGATTCATCAGTATTTCTGATCATTGTTGAATATCATCTTCACGCGCGAGGGAAATGTCATGCGATCATGGAAATCTACTTTGACCTAAACATCCCTCGTGACACATAAATTTATATCCTTACCATTATCGTATTGTTAAACAAATATGCTCGATCAGCGAAGATCGAGTAAAATCGAATCCACTCGATGTATTTCCTCATTAAGTTTGACTGCAAGTAGAGAGGAGGAAGAGGAGAAAGAGAGGGGTTCGAGGGAAAGAAATTAGTAACAAAGTAACACGGTCAGCCGAAGATGAAGATTTGCCAAGAAGGAAGAGAGAAAAAAAGAGGAGAGAGGAGAGAAGAAAACCAGATGGGCGATAATACCGACCAGCATCTCTCGAACTAGTGACCCCTGCCTCTCAAAGTCCGGCAAGTGCCCCCGGGTCATCCATTCGAACACATATAATAAATTATTTACTGCCTCGGTAATACGTTCGAGCGAACCGATTAATCTTGTTCGTATTGGTTCAGAGCTTGTTTGTTGCTATTGCTGAATCGAATACGCACGTTCACGCGTTGACCGATGAATCTATCTATCTAATATGAGACAATGCGTTCATCGATCATTCTAACGCGATAGTTCTTACTATTGGACTTTGATATCAGTTTTCTGTTACATTAATCATCACGTAATTGATTGCCTCGCATTTCGTCCAATCGATTGTTTGAAAATTAAATCGATTACTCAAGAATACTTACCAAATGAAGATTAGCCACTCTAGATGCAAAGTTTGTATGTACTCTTTCGTAAGCCTCCCTACGTTCCCTGCTTGTTTATACGCGGCGGGGAGAATAATTGTCATAGAAGTAGAACAAGGAGAGACGCGTTGTGTTAAAAAAACATTATATTCTAAAATAACTTTTATTGATACTTTCGCTGTATCAAGTATATTTACACGAATTTTAGTTAGTTCGATTCCTTATAAAATATCAAATACTATAAATACAGAAATTCTGCAATATCTCAGTATTCGCGAGAAATAGGGGAGGAAGTTTATGAGCCAACCTGCTTTTGCTTATTACGCAACATCGGTACGAGCAGTAGGTTAATTAACGTTATTTACAATCTGTCGGGTCTGATGTAACAATGCGTAATGAATGAAATAAAAATATAAAATGTTTCAAAAGTGTTCGAGAATAGGTATACACGCACATACCGCGTGTTATTGCTTATCTACTAGGTAAAGTTCAAAGTCGAATCGCCGATACAGAATAATAAAAATAAAGAAATGAAAAGTGTGGTAAATAAAATCATTGAATATTTTACGTGCGCGATATAATCAGACACTCGCGAAATTTTCACTTGATTATTTCGACACTGTACCAGTCGATTAGAACATAGGGTTAAATCGCGAAAGCGGCACGTCCAACGTCAATAACACGTGATTCGAACGTGTATATTTTTTCTTGTTCCATCGCTTCTTTCATTTCCTTTTTTTTTTTTTTTTTACTTCACATTTACATCGGTTGCGATTCCAGAAGTATTTATCATTGATAAGGACAAACTTGACCTTTGAAATTTGTAAGTTTCACGCTCGGTATCGCTCGATTCGTTCTTCTTTTTTTTTTTTTTTTCATTTTATTGTTTCTTTCCATTTTCATAATTTTCAATCGCAGGAATGCTCCGAATACTGGCTAACCTTGTAAAATCTCCTTCAAATCATTCAAATCTTGCTTCTCAACCATTCCATTCTGTTTTCTTTCGCTCTGACTCCGTTTGCGCAACTGCTTTAAAACATGAATTTCGTTAGCGTTCGTTGAGCAAAAGTTTGCTAAATTTTAGCTAAAAATTACTGCACTACCGCCAATGGTGGATTATGCTGTACCGGCTGTGCTCGAATTACACGCGCCAAACGCCTGAATGGCAATTGAAGATGAGAGTAAGCGCAATATGGCAATGGATCCCAATAAGCGAAGAGAGCTTCCCGTTTGTCGAGCACGGTGCCTAACAGATGAGGATCGGTTTCTCCTATTGGTCGTTTCAGTGCACAAGACACTGTGTCCGATAACAAATGCCTGTCTGACATAGTCAGGAGGATTCCCGAATTCTGTCTAGAGAAGTGTCGACAAGGTTTCCATACCAGCCGGGGATGGATCCCCGTGTGACAGATGTACGGCAAGCTAACACCTACTCGACAGCCAATTGGTACTAATTCTCCTTCCTCTGTTACTGCGAATCTAAAGCTCAAATGTCCGTTGATTCTAACGTTGAACGAGTGAGCGAAATATCTGTCAAGCCACTGCACTATTTCCGGATGTTCTTCAGGTATCAAGCCTCGTTCCTCGTCAACGAAGCAAGTCACGTTGGCCACGATCTTCGACTCTTTCACCGTAGTACAAGTGATATAATGTTTACCGCTTGGATCACGTATTACTAGCCAAGGTTTATTCTCATTGATCTCGTACTGCTGATTTCTGAACTCCCTTATGGTCGGCGGCAGAATTATCTTGCCTCGATCTCTCATCCCGGCCGGACCTGCGGCCAATATCAAGTATCTACCAGTAGAAAACGCATTCTGTTCGTACATTCTCGTGACATCTTGCACGGAGCGTAAGACAGCATGGCAGGGAGTCGATAAACCCAGCGTTTGACATCTTTGCAATAGTTCTAGGGGATCATCCAGGGATGTCACTTCACTGGCACCGGGCACGAAACACTCACAACCCATTACTTCTAGATAAGGTTTCGCCAGAGCATCGTAGTAGGCTGTATTACTAGCACTCACCGGAATATAATAGACAGCCTTCTCTTTTCGAACGATGTCCTTCAAAGCTTTGATGTACTCGATCACATTCTCGGGTCCTGGTTTTGGAATCGTGTAGAACTTAGAGCACGCAGTCGAAAACTTGGCCAAGCTGAACGAACCTTCCAACTCGCAAACCACCACCCTGGCCCCTGCCCTGTAGAAGTTTCGCGCCAGATGAACCGCTTGTACCGTGCTTCCACCGCTGATAAGAACACAGCGTTTGGTACGAATCCTCTCCGAAGTCGGCGTATAGAGCACGGTCAGGAACCACTTGAAAGTGGTCAAGGGAAATTGGAAAATTAGCCATAGTATATAAATCCAAATAGACGCGCAAAGCGCTGGCGCCCAGATCGCATAACTTGTCAGACTGATGATACTTTGAAGTGCTCCGTACAATGCGTCTATATAGACGGAGAAAATTCTTAGCAACAACGAATCGTTTCGATTGTGATTCTGTCCTTGTGTTGACCGAGGCTGGGAGCTTAATTGTAACTGTTGCTGTTGATGTTGCTGCTGTCGTCTCGGTGAAAATATCACAGTAGATGTGCCCGAGTTGTGCGACGATTGGGAGATGTTTGATACATTGGAATGATTAGAAACGCTCGACATAGATCGTTTTAAAGTCGATATCGGCGATATCAAGGGAGGTGAGGCAGACAGTGGTGAACTTGGTATCGGGGGAGACACGCTATTGCTCCTGGAAATCGGCGGACTCGAAGACCAATACCTCGAAACGTTTTCGCTGGTGCAAGCTGGCATTTTCGAATCCTTTTTGTCTTCCTTTTCTGCGATTATTATCAAGCGTAAAGGTATCAAGATCGGTCCGATTCCATCTCGTGAACAGATTTTCTTTTGGAAAACGAGTTCATAACTTCATCTTGAAAAAAAAAAAGAACAAAAACGTCGACTCGACTTGAACTTTATTCCTTAACTAGAGAAATATCAATAAAAAATTAATTATCTCCGATATGTAATTTAAGAAACGAGCAAGCAATACGTGAGGATTTAGAGCACAGAGTCTGATCGAGAAAGAACTTGTATGAGGCACGTGTACTTATGTTACTCGCGAAGTGCACGCTGATCTTTCAGCTTAAATTTTTCTCGCGATTTGCTAACGAATTCGCCGGTATGCATACACAGCTTTAACTGAGGCTGGTCCTCCGGTCTCTTGGTCTCTTATGCGCTCTGCATCTCGGACGTACTATGAACCGAGGTCTTATCTAATCATGCAGCCTCAGACATCGCGGCTGAAAGAAGGAATCGAGTCCTCGCTCTGATCAACGTCTCGTCTCATATTTTTATTTCTTTTCTGCCTTTTTTTTCTTTTTATTATTATTGTTGCTAGAAAATACATTGGAGTCAATTGAGTAAACAATTCCAGAAAATATCACCGTAATATAGCAATTAAACTTTTAATTATAAACTTGTATAATAATAGAGAGTAATTATAAAATTGTATAATAATAGAGAGTATCTATGAAATATATTTAATATTTTTTTTGCTTATTAATTTAATTATTATTTTTGGTGTTCTAAATTTTATATACAGAAGAATAAGTATAACACATTATAGAATGTTCGAGCAAATTTAGGGATTTGTTTCGTTTCTTGTCTTTCTTAAAAAACTTGACTGAAAAAAGTTGTTTCTTTTTTGGAGGAAAGAAGAATACTGAAACACAAACTCTTGAAATTAATACTGTGTTGGAAATAGCTTGCAGAAACGAGTAGAACTTCTTACAATTGAAAAAATACATTTAAGAAGATATATTCTTGAAAATCTTTCAACAATTCAACAATTTATAATAGTAAATCCTAACAATATAAAAATAATGAAAGACAATATAGAAGAGCAATGTTCTTACAATATTGATAATTTAATTTACCAGTATCAATATTAGATATAATGTATATAGAAATAAATATTCTTTCTTTTTGTTTTAGAATTCAATCATCCCCAAATGGATGAAGAAATCAAGCTCAGCTTGTTACATGTAAGTAAAAGTTCTATCAATTAAGAATTAAGAAGCATGAATCCAATTGTGAAGGATTGTAAACTGTGATTTTGAAATACACGCTAATTTTTGACTATTACTTTCTATTTAAAAATTAAGTGGGTACGACAATAAAATAAATTTCTTACAACTTTGGCCCATTTAATATAATTATACTATCACAATCTACTATACAATGTTTTTCAAATACCAACTAACAGTACAATAAAACTAACTACATACAACATGATATACTCATCGTGAGCATGATTGTATGTATACATGTATGTAATTCCTATGTGCTCGTGGGAAACGTATATACGCATATGCACAGAATAAGACGCATATACACGGTCTTCAATGTCATACATACCAGTATTTGACACTGGTTATTAGAATTTTTCACATATTTTCTAAGTTTTACTTATCGTATATTTCTAAATAATTACTGTTTTTTCTTTTTTTTTTTATACATTTCTATGTATGTACAATTTGGGGTCGAATTATATGATGCACATATATTTCATTGATCTAATGGACTTACGAAAAAACTAATTTAAAACATTAATTTTATGTGACATCATAAAATTAGCAATTCTGCTTTTTCTAATGCTTAAAAAAATATAATTTTATAAATAAATATATTTCATAATTATAACAAAATGACATCTTATAATAGTCTCTTGAGAAGTCATTTGATCGTTAAAATTCTGTCTATATTAAATAATAGTTTCTTTTATTAAATTAATACAAAAGTGGAATTGAAAAAGGCAAAGAAAGCCATAGTTGTGAAAAATAAAATCATTGTACATACATAAGAGAAAAGTAGTATTGGCAAATTAATTTTATTTTCGTATTATATAGCGGTAATCAAATTTAACCGATAATATGTTTCAATAATCTAATATGAGATTATATATAAGTTTAACGCTTAATTTTTTCTTTTTTTTTTTTTTTTTTTGGATATGATGTAGAATAATAACAGCATAATTTCGAGTACATTTTGAAATAGAACGTAATTCCGATACTTTGTAATAAAATACACAATAAATTATATATAAGTATCTATTTCGTAATGTACGTGGTATACAAACACCGATATAACGAGTAAAATGATTATATATAAAATACTGTTCCAAATTTAAAAATAAAATTTCGTATAACGAAAGCAAGTTTAACAGGTATCCAATATATGTATATATATATATATATATATGTGACTAGAAATTATACTATAATTATGTAAATTGATTCCTCTCAACAAAATAATACACTTTCTTATAATAAAATTCATTCTGCTCCTAACAATTTTAGCTCATTGCATATCACTTGCAGTTATTTTAAAAAGATAAATAACAATAAAAAATTCTTTTCAAAATTAATGTCTACATTTGTTGATTAGAATTAATTGCAAGCATTCCAATTCCATTGTAAAACTAAGTATAAGCTTTGTTTTTTTTGTATAAGTAGGAGTACAAAAGTAAAGATAGTTGGCAATGTTTTATTAGAACTGGCATGTAATAATGACACACAGATATTATTTGCATAAGATACGTGGTAACTCTTTTTATGCGCCGGCATAATTAAGAGATTTAAATATTGGAATTCATTCACACCATTCCCAGCATTACTTACTTTTAACCTTCATATCAAAAGCATTCTTTTTGAAAGAACGCTCATTAACATTGTGCTCACATTGCATTTGACTAGTAACAATAGTAGTTTATTAATACATACCACTTTGAAATAATATTCTGCGATATTTAAGCTGCATTTACCTCATTCTCAATTTTTAATCGTCATACTATTTCTTATTCTTGTTCCTTATAAAATTTGTGCCTTTAGAAAAATGGAAGTGTATTGATAGAATACAAATGGTAGAATTCGTTATTCATATAGGGAGACAATTTTTTTTTTCTTTTTTAATACCGCGATCATTGTATTTATACAAATCTTTGCATATTTCGCCGGTATTCATAAATTTTTCTTAACTGTTATAAACTTAATATTCCCGAGAATATATTGCATTCGCAATATTTCACCATTTTTAAAACTTTACAAAACACTTATCCAAGAACACGTTTTTAATTTATCTCCCTTTTTTACTATTAATTTTACAGATACGTTCATCAGATATACCGATTTGTGAACAAACGAGCGTATTCCACATTTATGACATTGCTTACAATATTACTGCTGGTTTTAGAGTCTATGGTTTCATAACCGTCTTACAGTTAATAACATTTTAATGTAATTAAGGTATTGTCTATTATAAAGTTATGAGTTTTGTATTGATAGAGGCAGCGGTCACAAAGGGTGCAGCACTGCAATTGCATATTTTTCTTTTTTTCGACTTGTAATACATACACTCTTGAATTTTGAGATTATTAGTGTTTTCAGTTCTATAGAATGGAAAAATAAGAGACTTGTCTTTCATGATACAATAATAAATTATACACCACTGACAATTTTTAGAATAAATTATACCGCGTATTATTACTGCATTATATACATGACGATGTTATAAAAGAGGAAACATAAATAAAGTAATTCTAAGAAACATAATGTAAACGAGTGCAGTACAAATACACGGTATAAATATAATTTTTGATTAATCTAATGATATTAAATCTAATATTTTTCCATTAACAGTATTGACATCTCGTATTACTTTTCATTATAATTTAAAATAAATATTAACAATATATTCAAATATGAGAAACGATGTAAGCGTTATGACAGAGAAATAAATTGCATAAATAGTATAATATTTTATATATTATTATTCTTATTATCATTATTATTACTAGTAATAATTATTTTTGAAATTTATTAATTATAAATTCATTTAAATTAAACTAGGAAAGAAAAAATCACAGACTACGCGTTTTAATAAGTGCTGCTATTCATAATTTCGTATATAAAATCTTTGTCATTAAAAAGTGCAACTTATGAATCAAATATACAATACAGAATACAACTGTACACATTGTTCTTCAGCATATAAACTATAAATACATATGATGTGAAAATGTATTAGACATGATTAAAAGTTAAACATTTAAAAAAAAAAATATGTTCGTGTTTTACAATATGTGCTTGGAAATTCAAATGTTATATCAATTTTCAAATACTATCTTTTAAAATTTTGTCAGTACAAACCTGTCGATAATGTGAAACAGGCCGATTATGTTAGGAAATAGCTTAGTTTCTTAGAATAATAAAAAGTATATACGAGCAATATTATAAGATCGACAGGAATGTATTGTAATATTAAGCGTTTTGTTCGTGGAAAAAAAGAATGAAATGATTTCAATCTTTAAAATAAAAGAAAGACTGTTGATACCAAAATTAATTACATGAAAAATGCAGCGATCAATTTTCCTGCCTCTCTCGCAAAAATACAAAAATTTCTCAAGATACGAAAAAGAAAGGAAATGCACGCTTCGTTTCTCTTGTACAAAAATTTGGATAAAAACAGAAAAGGATACATTGCGATTGCTATGTACATTCTCGCTGTATCCATTCTGAAATCAATAACTTGTAGAAAACCATAGAATACATTACTATATTTAAATGCTACTCTCAGCAGAGTGCTGAGAACGTAATGACGAATAACAACCTTGACAAACTCTAACGGGCTTTAAAATACCAAGTCTAGATATTTTCGATTCAAATCGGCTGCATCTGTATGTAAAGTATAAAAAATGTTTATATCAAAATATTTATATATCAATAACATTATGTCAATAGTAAAAAAAAAGTAAATTCTAAATTTCTAATTTATATAAATAATTTATGGTATCATAGGGACTTACTTCGAGCAAAATACTTGTCCACAATTACGACAATGGTGTCTCCTCTCATAAAGATTAAATCTAACTCCACAACCAACACATGAATCTGCTCCTTCATCTTTAAGCCAATGATCGGCCACCGTACGTCCCGGTTGTTCACATACACTCCATGAAAAAACTCTTCCTCTCGTATCTCCAACATAGACTGTTCTATGATCTCTATAATTTGATTAAATATTTCGTTTAACATTTTTTATATGTTTCAAATGAGATAAGTTGTAAATATTTTACCTTGATACTGCGAGAGCTGTTATAGATGCTGGTTCTGCATTATCTTTCCGATCATACGCAGTATGCATCGTTAATTTACTTCT